TTGTGATCGTGAGTTGAGCCAGATCCTTGCTCCTTGCAGCCTGGCCTGGGCAGGTCGCTCTCGTCGCATAGGCCCAGGGGTCCCCAAGCCGCAGGCAGAGCACTGCTCCCACCAGGACCCGTCGGAACAGCAGGAAGCGCCAGGTCTTCCAGGCAGGAGTGTTTAACACGGGCAGGGGAGCGCGGACAGTGCAGGAGCCGGGACGCCACGCAGAGGACGGAGGGAGCAGAGGGAGGAGGTCACTTTCTTCTTGGGGCGGGGGGGGGGGGGCCTCTACAGGGTCAGGAAGCCAGGCCTCCGGGTGGAGCGGGACCGCGGCCACTGCTGGGAAGTACCTGGAACAAGGTGACGCCCTGGAGGAGCCCCAGCCCCTGTCAGAGGCAGAGGGAGAAAACTGGCTCTTCTCATCCCTCCCAGGGAGCAAGGGAGTCTGGGAAATGTAGTTTTCTGTGGCGCTGAGTGGGATGGAACTCGCAGGAAGGGGATGTGAGGGAAGCAGGAGGCCGACAGGCACAGCCTCCTGTCCTCTTGCCTGGAGCCAGCCCAGAGCTTTGACCCGGTGAACTACGTGCTGAAGGGAAGGGCGTTCCTGTCCCGGACCTGCGGGGGCACCAGGTCCCGGGAGCACCTGCACCGGCTGAGGGTCGCCAGAGGGCAGGAGCGGGAATGCGTGGGTTCAGCTGTTGGGGTTTTTGCTTTCGTTTTTTCTTTTCTGGCAAGTGCCTCCGTTCTTTTCATTTCTAACCTGGGGTTTCCTTTCATGTTCTTTATGCGTCTCTGGGAGATGGATTTAAACCAAATCTATAGGCTCCCAAGGGGCTAACCCAGTCTCTGCTCTTTGAACAAAGGGAGAAGCTCAGCTCTGAGTGAGGAGCCCCAGGCCCCTGCCCCCGCCCATCTGGAGGCTTGTGACATGGGCGGGGCTTCAGCTCCAGTTCCCAGGGGCGCCCCACAGCTCACCCCCACGGCTTCCTGCCTCACTTCCCCGCTCATTCCCCACCCCTAGGAGTCACACGGCCAACGTGCAAGTCTCCAAGCAAGGGCAGTAGCCTGAGGCCTTTCCCCATGAATTTGACTTGCCTCCCCGTTCATCTTGAGGGACGAGGGTTCCCGAGAACACTCTTTGGGAATCACAGTTTTAATTCCTGGGCAGGCTGCACTTGGCCTCCGTCTGCCAGGAAGTAGGTGACCGGATCATCTGAGTCACAGGACCTGCTTGGAGCCGCTGTTCTCCCACTGCAGGTGCGGCGTGTGGATAAGCTGATTCCCAGGGGATCACACCTCCCAGGACAGTGATATGCGTCGCAGTGCAGGGGGGAGGGGGGGGCGCTGGGGAAGGTGCCAACCTCCTCCAGCTGTGAGACCAGAGGCAGAGGCCCCCAGGCCCGCAATTATGTCAGGAAACTCAGCGCTGAGATGAATGGAAAATGACGGGGGAGTTTTTTCCAAGGACGTGGCTTGAGCAGGATCGATTGCAGAGCAGGAGGCATTGAAGCGGCGCGATGCCTGCCGGGCTAGACAACAGGTCGTTTCGTAGGGAATCTAAGGTGCCCCCCCCCATCCGAGCAGGCGCTCATCATGGGGGTGAGGATGCAGCACAGGCCGGGGAGGTGGGCGGGGGTCAGCCGTGAGCACGGGGCCGAACGTCCCAGCGGCAGAGAGGCACCTGAGAACTTGGGCCTGGGCCTGGGAGCCGTGGAATGTTCTCTTTGTCCCCGTGAAGTTCCGCAGCAGGCAAGGGCCTGCCGACTGAGCCTGCCCACAGATTCCTACCGTCCAGGAAGGAAAAACCCCACTTCCCCTTCGTTCAGCTCAAGTCCTGGTTCCATTCTGGGCCCAGCGGCCTGGCTCAGTGCTTGAGCGCTGACCTATGAACCAGGAGGTCAGGGTTCGATTCCCAGTCAGGGCTACTGGGTTTTGGGCTCGATCCCCAGTGTGGGGCGTGCAGAAGGCAGCCGGTCCGTGATTTCCCCCTCATTGATGTTTCTCTCTCTCCCCCTCTCCCTTCGTCTCTGAAATCAATAAAAACGTATTTTTTAAAACGCCGCCATAGTAGAGAAGGAAGGTGGCGAGGCGGCAGAACAGCGTCTTTCCTGTGAAGAGCCTTCCGCGGTGCCATGCGCAGTCTCCTTAAGAGAAAGGCGAGGCCCGGACCACGGGACAAGGTGCCCCGTCACTCAGCGTGAGGCACACGGTCATGGCACAGCGAGGCCCCGCTCCCACGTCCGGGGGCCTCACAGCGGGGGACATGCTGACAAGCCTCAAGGACACGGTGCTAAGGGGAGCGGCCCCATCATGAAAAGGCAGGTGCCCAGGGCGTCCACTTCCAGGAGACAGGACGTAGAATCCCGGTCCCCGGCGCCGGAGGAGGGTGGGGAGCAGGGGGGCTCATCGTTCCCCCGCAGATGAGATGATGAGAAAGATCTGGAGATGGTGAGGGTCAGTGCGTTCCCCGCCTGACTGCAGCGCGAAGAGGGTGGCCGTGGGGGGCTGTGTGTTAACGTAATGAGAAGACTGTGACAAACACGTGAGACACGGAGGTTCCCCGGGTGTGGCTTCCCGGGTGGAGGCGGCCGGGCTCAGAGGCGCCTGGCGCTGAGGGGAAGGCCAGCCTGAAACCACAGAAATGACCTCGGTCTGGCCCTTTGATGCCGGTCCCACCAGAGGGGCCGTTTCTCAGCGGGAGCAGGAACGTGCAGGTCATGGAGTCAGGCCTTTGTGTGCGGGTGCTAGTGCCAGATTTAGCCTCGTCCAGAGGTGGCCTTCACCCGGAAGAAAAGGGATTTCTTGGATCAGTGCGTCTGACCCCAGCGACCTCCTGTCCTTTTCAGTTCGTTTTAAATCCTGCTCTTCTGGCCAGTGTGATTTCAGCTCTTAGCAAAGAACATTTTACATTTTAATCAACAATCCTGGGCCGCTTTCAGATCTGTTAACTTGAGGAGCGAGAATGGAACCGGCGAGTTCTTTCTGAGGCCTCCTGACCGCAGGCTGCAGGGAGCGCGGGGGTGGGGGGGTGGGGGGGGCGGGGGAGATATTCCTCAGTGCCATACACCTTCGGGGAACCCTTGCTCCCCGGGAACCAGGGCTCCCGGGCCTTCGATCCTAAGGGGTGAGAGACAGCCAGCCTGTGGCGGCCCTTGGCAAGCACGGCACAGAGCCGTCCGATCTCTGTTTGTTTCTATCCCAACGTCACCGTGAATTAGCAGCTCCGACTCCCGGGCTCCTGGGAACATGTCTGCGCTGCCTCCGTCACAGCGAACTGTGAGGTGTGAGAAAGCAGGGGGGTTCCTGTGGAGCCCGTGGAGAAAGCAGCAAGGGTCTGTGAGAGGCGGTGCAGACGCCGGAACCGGCAGGGAAATCATTGCAAGGTGGCATTTCGGGGTGGGTTCATTTCCTACCGCATTTTAATGACCGACAGAGAAGATATAAAAATGTCATTTATAGAGGAACGCCAGCATCTTGTTCTCCTGGTTATTGTCATGGATCCAATGGCACATGCAGTATGATTTTTTAAAGGTTTTTTGCTAAACACTGTAATCCGTCTTTCGTGCTGCAGACCCGCGTGGTTACTGCGCACCTCACACAGGTACGTGTGGATGGAAGTCAGACGGGAGGAAACCGGGCTCTTTCCCCTCCTGACAGCAAGGCGGGAACCTTTGCACACTCCCTCCCAGGAATGTGCCGTTCTGTTTACTTTGACCAGTTTTTAACTGACAGTGGCTATTTTTCAGGCACGGAGGTGGTGTTGATGAGGACAGTGAGGGGCCCTTGGGGTTTCAGGGTGTGAGGGGCAGTTGTTAACCCTCTAGCTTCGTCTACCTCTGTTCACCACCCAACCAGCCCAGGCTGCCCAGTGAGGTCAGGAGGCGTGGACCTCTGCTCAGCTCGGCCTGGGTCAGGGCGGGTGGGCCGTGGCCAGGGCTGCCTGCGGGGATGAGGGCCCTCCTCCCTCGGGCCCATCCAAGTCCTCCTCCTCCTCTCAGCTCACTGGGCCCTTTATGCTCGGACTTTGTTCTCCGCTGCGAGGAGCATTGCGAACGCAGAATCTGGCTTCTCAGCAAGGACTTCGGGCTTGTCGAACTCGACCACCTGGAAGTCAGGGAAGGAGAGCTGCGTATGTCAGAGAATATCCCCCTCCCCCCCTCCCCCCCCCCCCCCCCGCCCCAAGAGCCCGAACCACTGAAGCCAGGGGACGCCAACGGCTGGCCGCTGTACCTTCCCGTTTTCCATGACCAGGACGAGGTCGCAGTTGAGGACCGTGTTGAGGCGGTGGGCAATGGTCAGCACTGTGCAGTCTTTGAAGGCGTCTTTGATGGTGTTCTGCACAAGGCTGTCAGTCTTGGAGTCCATGGAGGCAGTGGCCTCATCTAGGAGAATGATCTGTTGAGGAAGAAATGTGGTAAAAGTCACAGTAAGCCAAAGCTGTACCTAGAGGTAAATTCATAGTCTTAGCTCAATTGATTGATTGATTGATTGATTTAGAAGGACTGAAAAGTAACGCACTACGTATCCATCTCAAAGGTTAGCAAAGGAATGGCAAAAACAAGAGTCACATCACACCACCTTCATCTTCTTCAGAGGGACTGGCTGGGGAACAAGATTGTAGTCTTCACTCCTCGTTGGAAGTGGTTTATTCTAATCCTGCAAACCGGTGGGAAGAAGCACCCAGGACTTTCTCCCACACTAACAGCGAGTCAGCATGCAGTTTAACAACAACACTCACATGAGCTTCCTGCTGTTACAAATTCACACAAACTCAGAGGCTTAACACAACACAAACGTATTATCTCGCAGCTCTGGAAATACAAAGTCCCACAGTCAAGGTGTTGTCCGGGCCGCGTTCCTTTTGCAGGCTCTCGGGAAGAAACCGGGCCCTTGCCTCTCCAGCTTCCAGATGCAGCCCACGCTCCTTGCCCGCGGCCACTTCCCGGCATCCTTCTCACCTCCACCCCCTTGTCAGATCTCCTCCTCTGCAGCCTCTTATGAGGACCGGGGCCACCCGGGGAATCCGGGAGACTCTCCGCGTCTCAGAACCCTCGATAGTGGAAGAGGCGGCGCCCCTTTCCCAGTGAGGTCACACAGTTCCGGGGGTCAGGGCGTGGCCTTTTGGGGGGCCGGGGGCACTCTCCTGCCTCCACGGTGCCACTCCGCCCGGCCCTGGCTACAGCACTCAGCTTCCCGGGCTCTGGTGGTTTCCCCGCTTGGCGGTCGGCCCTGAGGGGCTGGCCCTCCTGCCGTTAGCGCCTGTAGGGAGCACACCCAAGGCTCCACTTCGCCCAGGGCCCAGGGATGAGACGAAAGCACCAGCACCCTCCTTCCGCCCGCAGGCAGGGCTGTCCACGTCCCTACGCAGAACCAGCTGGCATTTTGCCATTCTCCGACCCTCGCGTTCCTGACTGTCCCGGGCCCTGTGTACAGGCCTCGAACCGTCAGGGACAAAGGGAAGACGCTGGGAGGGAGCTTTCTCAGACCCGGACGGCGGGGGACGGAGAGAATCCCAGAGCAGGGCTCCCGGGAGCGACCGCCAGAGAGGCAGGTGCCGGCCGTTGTGGAAATGCTGCCATCGCTCAGTTTTCCCTCTCGACTTCGTCTTAAGAAAAAGGGGTCGGTTTTCCAAGGGCTCAGTGGCTCTCCCTTCGCTGAAGGACAAAGGTGCCCCCCCCCCCCGCCCCGGTGGAGGGCGCTGCGGGAAGTGCCCCCGACCAGACCCGTCCTTCCCCTGCGGCCCCTCACTTTGGAGTGGCGGAGCAGCGCCCGGGCCATGCAGAGCAGCTGCCGCTCCCCGACGGAGAAGTTCTCTCCGTTCTCCATGACTTCGGCCTGCAGCCCGTCCGGGAGCCGCATTATCTGTAAGACAGAGGAGGCCGTTTGTGCTGGAGATGCGTGGAAGCGTCCTGTGCCGTCTGTATCGATCGCCCCTCCTCCCGCATCCTCCGCGGCTTCATTTTACTGCAGGGAAGAAAGTGAAAAACAACAGTCGCTCAGCATTGCAAGCGGGCTCCAGGGGAAGACGGGGAGTGGGCGGACAGTGATCATTTAGAATCGCAGCGTGATTCACCCCATCGCCGCCGCGCCTGGAGAATGCAGATGAGGCCCGATGGGCCGAGGAACACAGACAGGATTAACTCCTTCCAGGGCTTCTGTCTCCACAGACGGAATAGGAATGCCGACGGCCCGTGGACTGCACAGGAGGCCACTCCGGCCTGCGGCCCCTGGCGATGCCACGCCCTCTCCACCCGGGCTTACTGCTTCCCGAGACGGGTGAGGCTACGGCCCAGCCGCTGGGCCCTCCCTCGGCTCTCAGTCAGGTGGACCTGGGTTCGAGGCTCCATCCTGCCACTCGCTAGCCTGCCCCTGACCTCCTCAAGGCTTCGTTTCTGCATCCCTGGAGGCGGAGGCGGCCCAGCCCACGGGCGGCAGCCAGGCCCATGTGCTGTAACATAGGTGGAGGTCCTGGCTGACTCCTGGCAGAGACCTAATCGTACCTATTGCTGCTTTTAATCGTATCACGTTGACAAGGCTTGTGTCCCTCACATGTGTGGGGCCAACAAATAAGCCTGGCCAGACGCTGGCCCCGGGCTTGTCGCATGTCAACCTGGGCCAGGTGCCGGGGGCGTGGGCAAAGCAGACTCGCCGGGACAGCCCGAGCCTTACCGTGTCTCGCATGAACGTTCGCTCCAGCACCTGCCAGAGTATCTCGTCCGTGTGCCTCTCAAAGGGGTCCAGGTTGAACCTGCGAAGGAACGGAGAGGCCTGGGGAGCAGGCTTCGCAGCGCGGGTTGGGGGGGGGCGGGCAGGAGGCGGTCAGGGCCCAGCGGCTCCGGGGCAGGGCTCACTTAGCCCCGGCGATGGCCCATCAAACACCAACCTCAGGCCAAGAGACCTGGGACCCACAGAGCCCACCGAGGGGGTGTGAGAGCAGCCTGGCCCCAGCCCCAGCGAGATCGACCTGCAGATTCCTGGCAGACAGGAAGGGGAGGGGGCAACGTGAGGGCCGTTGCATCCACTGCCCGCAGTCCTGACTGCCAGAGGCGGGCAGCTCATTTGTGGGTGGGAGTCTGTGCAGGGAAGGTGTTTCCATACAACGCTAAGTGCGGCCGCTGCGCTCAGTGGGCGAGACGTCCCTCTCAGGAGAGGGTCGGTGCTCGCAGGACCGAGAGAGGGGCCGGCTGAGCCTGCACGCCGGCCGGAACCCGTGGAAGCTGCCACCTGCTGTGCTTGTCCGGGAACTTCATGCTGACACAGTTCCGGGTGGATAACCGCTGTGTTAGTGTCCGGACCGGGACGCTTCAGAGTGGCCGTTGCTAACCCTGACAGGACGCCGAGCTGCAGGCATGAGCCAGGATTCTGCTCACCGCGTGTAAGCGTCCTGCTTGCTAGCGACAGGTCTGTAAACTACACGTCATGTTCAAGGCCCTGGGGAACCGGTGCCAGCCCCTGGGCATGCTGCACCCCCGGGCAGAGCAGCCCGGCCGGCCGGCCTCGCCATGGGCGCCTCCCACAGTTCCTGGCGGTCTGATGTCACTCTCGGAAAATAGGGATGCACAGCAATCAAAACAGCTACCTTACTGTACCTACAAACAGCACGGGGTCCTGGGGGATGGCGGTCAGCCTGGTCCTGAGGTCCTCCAGCCCCACCGAGCAGATGTCCACCCCGTCGATGAGGATGGTGCCGCCCGCCGGCTCCACCAGGCGGAACAGGGCCATTCCCAGCGACGACTTCCCTGGGGACGGGGATGGCAGGTCACACCTCGGGTTACACTCCCGTCGTGTCCAAGTATCTAGTCTGGGTGTCTTCCAGGCAGGGACCCTCCGTGAGGGTGCGCAGCCAGAAACTGCCTGCGCCCACGCCTAACCGCCCCGACACGGCTGACCCCCCCCAACACAGCTGACCCACCCCAACACGGATAAACCACCCCACACGGCTGACCCACCTCAACACGGATAAACCACCCAACACGGCTGACCCACCTCAACATGACTGACCCGCCCCAACACGGCTGACCCGCCCCGACACGGCTGACCACCCCAAGACGGCTGACCACCCCTGCCGCGGTGGCTGTGCACACAGCTCCTCCTCTGGGTCTCTTTCTCCAGAATGGTCCTCATGTAATTAATTCAAAAACTGGTGTGTGTTTGCTTCCAACTCCACACACCCATCCAACCTGGAACCGTATTTACAGTAAAGAGACCTGAGGGGAGCCCGGCCCGTCTGCGGCTGGGGCGCCGCCGGACGAGCAGGGACCGACTGGCAGCGCGGCGGAGCCTGTCCTCACCAGAGCCTGTTCTTCCCACGATGCCCACCGTCTGCCCGCTCCGGATGTGCAGGTTGAGCCCGTCGAGGACGAGGGGCGTGCCGTCCCTGTACCGCATCCGATAGTCTCTGAACGTGATCTCCCCGCGGCTGGGCCAGTCCCGGGGACAGGGCCCCGCTGGGAGGGGCTGGGCGCTTTCAGGAGCACAGGTCTGCAAAGCAGGGGACCATGACGGTTAATACACGCCTTCGCTTTTCCATTCGTTCCTCCACTCGTTCACACGGTTCCAGGTACGGGAGTTCATGGCCAACTCTGTCAGTAAGGGCCCGGCACTCACGACGCTCCCCTTCCCGTGGGAACGAGGTGATGAGGAAGAAAAGACACGGCACGAAGACAGAACAGGCGTGTGATGGAGTGTAGGATGCGTGCTCCAGCGGCGGGAGGGGGCCTGAGAGCAGGGATGCTGAGAAGGTGCCGCCACACGGGGATTTGACAGGGTCTCCCATGCACAGGCCCGGGGGCCAGAACAGACTGGGGTGCAGGGAGGAAGAGAAAGAACCATCGTGGCTGAAGCTTGGAGCGTCGATGGGCGACTACAGGGGACGCCTCATGGGGCCCCGTGGGCCGGGACACGTGTCCGCAGCGCGCCCTCACGGCCTGGAAGCTGGGTCACCCAGGGGACACGGGCCGCCTGGAGGCCTGGGAGTTCCCCCGACACGGCCTCTGCGTCTGCGAGTCCCCACGGGGTCGGAGCAGGAAGGGGGCAGGGATGCAGCGTGTCGGTTCAGAGGCCGTTAGAGTCCGTGCAAGGAACGGTTACGTTTCCAAAGAGCCAGGAAATGCAGTGTAAGTAGGGACAGAGCGCCGGCCCCCGAAGCTAAGGACTTCCCACTGGGGGCGAGAAACCGGCTCCCAGGTGGCCCCTGGGGTGGCGGCCAGCCCGGATTCCTGGTCCACGAGCAGCCCGTCAGCCCAGGAGACGGCTGTGTTTCCTCAGTGTTTGGAACCCATGGAAGATGGAGGATTAACGTAAAAGTATTCAGAGAAGCAGCCGTGTCACAGTCATATTTTTAGTTTAAGGAATCTGAATGTTTGGTGTTCTAAGGTTTCATAATATTAGTAATTGTGACTCTAACTGAAAATCATAATGGGATCGTTTATTTAAACATGATTGTAAGTTTATATATAGCATTGGGATTGTTGGGCAAAGTCAAAGCTGTAAGTGAGTTGCCTAAATCCACATTTATTAGCTGCGTGTAACCTCAAGGGGCGTGTTTGCTAAGTCAGATAACCGAGTACTTAAAAGGAAAGGTAATTGATTACATTTTAAAATGCAGTTTTTAAGTATTTAGTTAAGTTTGTAAAGGGGCCAAATGCTATTGAAAGGCCTTTAAAAGCGATCACTAGACTCGACCAGCCTTCTTTTCATTTGTAAGTTGGACATAAAAGTTTTCTTAGAAGAGTGAGACACCGACTTCTCTCTTCTACAGAAACAGCCCTGAGCAAACTGCTTTTAAGAAAGAGCCTCTCTCTCCACATCAAGGACCTCGGATGGTGTTGTAAACATGGGTTTTGAGAAGAGAGGTTGTGGTCCGAGTTCAGTTTTTAAAAAGATCCCTTCACGTGTGAAAAGATCCGATGAGCCCAGGAATCTGCCGTTGAACGCGTTCCGCCGGCCTCTTACCGAGATGTACGCCCGGAGTAGCTCCACGGAGGTGAACTTGGCCTGGGTCTCGGTCCCCGTGCGCACGCACACCTGCAGCAGCCCGCTGAGCTGAGGCGAGAGCAAGCAGCCGTCAGGCCCCACGGTCCCCCAGCCCCGCCCTCCCAGCACCTCACACAGCAGCCTGGTTCCCAGCCAAGTGCCAGCAGTGCGGCTCAGTGGTGGGTGTGTGTGTCTTCAAACACTTCCTCTGTGTTTAGAAACATGGTGCTTGCTTTTCCCTGGCCTCCAGATGGTGACAGCCAGCCCCCCACCTTCCACCTGATCACCGCCTCCTGGTTGGAGCGGCAGGCTGGGAGCCGGATTCCCAGGCTGCAGACGGCCAGCCATGGGCCCCTAGCTGCCCCGGGGGTGTCCCGCCCCTCCCTGTCCTCCTTGTCCCGCCCCTCCCTGCCCTCCCTTGCAATACCCCCCCCCCCCCACAGCCCAGAGGCATCACAGGGGATCAGGTGGAAGGAAGCACCAAGCCCCGCTGCTTGCTTCCCAAGTGGGAGAATCTGGGCCCAGACTGGGAGTGTGGTTTCATAAGGTCACCCACAGGCAACCTGCCCACGGCTGACGCCTGCACAGGCGCCCCTAACCATAGCTGACACCTGCACAGTTACCCTGCCCACGGCTGACACCTGAAGCGAGGCCAGCCTGCGAAGACCCCTCCAGGCCACACAAAAGCAGGGGAGCCCTGAACACCCCGCCCGCCCGGCCCTCCTCCTCAAGCACAAACGGATCAAGAATCCGACAAACGCAGCCCACGGCACAGACGCGCAGGGACCGGGTAAAGAAAAGAACCGGCCCTGGGAGGGAGGGACCTCTCGTTAATACACTCGGGAACATTAAACATACTTAGTCAGCTGCCTGAAAGGGTTCTTTCAAACACTCCCTGAGAGAGTGGGTGGAAATTGAGCATCTGGACATATGGTTGCCATACGCACAAGTCAGTGGAATGGCCGAACGGCCAGGCTAAGGCAGGTTCCCAGAGGGAAGATGAAAGACAAGAACAGGAGACTCTGATACAAGAAAGGAAACGGGAAACAGTGGAGGCCCACTCAGTCCCAGGCCTTTGAATAACGTGAGCCGCTAAGCGCTCTCTGCTGACCCCATTCGAGCTGTGCTCTCTATTAGGCCGCCCTCCCTCCCGCACTCCATGCGAGAGCCTCCAGGCCAGGCCCTCCCGACACCAGGCGGTACCTGGATGATGTAGGACAGCGACAAGCCTTTGGACGCGGCGCTGACGGAGAAGAAACTCAGGGTCACCATCAGGGCCACGATGAAGGTGACGATGTTCATGAGGACGTCCATCCTCAGGGCGAACCAGCGCAGGGCGCAGTTGAAGTACAGGAGGTGGCCGGAGTTCTCGTCGTTGAGCATCTTAAACCTGAAATGAGGAGACGGGCAGACGGGTCAGTCAGGCGGCCGTGGATCAGGGTCCCGGCTCCTGGAGAAAGCAGGGCAGGCCAGGGCGTTCTTCAAGGGCAAACGCGCTTTTCCAGAAACGGACATCTGTCCTCGCTCTTTGAAATCTGTTGTCGTGGGCGTGGGGGTGAAGGGAGAGGGTGTTAAGAGAACAGACCAGGTGCTTCCAACCTGCTTTCCCCCCCTCATCCCCGCCCCCCCCCCGCCCCCGTGCCAGACACGTGCGCTCAGCACAGCCTGACCTGGCCCAGCCCTGGGGAGAGAGGGGGGCTGTGTCTTTCATACATTCAGGATGGAAATTTTAACCGGACTGAGCTAACCGTAACCAAGAGAGACCTGGGATCCAGTTGCCACTGAAGTTTCCCTGACCTGCTTGGGACGGCTGGTAGAAACTACTGGGGGGAAATGAAAGCCTTTCAACATTTATCCCCCCAGAGAGCTACGGCCCCTCCTGTGGCTCTGCTGCTTCCTGTTGTCTCCTGTTTTCCTAAGTTGAACACATTTTGCTTTCAGTGTGAAAAAATATGTCCCATCCCACGCTGAGGTGGTCACTGAAGGAGCTCACATCTTTGGGGCCCCAGACGCGGGGAAGAAAGGCGGGTGTCCTCGAGGGCGCCTCCTCCCTTCTGCCGGCTCTTCCTCCCCGGCGGGTCCCCGGGCGCCCAGAGCAGCCCTGCGTGCGCGGCTGTGACCTCCCGTCGGGGTCAGGACTCACTTGGTGACGCAGTCCTCCCGCCTGTCGTAGGCGTGGATGATGCCCAGGCCTTGCATGGACGAGGTGATGTGTGAGAACCAGGGGGAGCGGCTCACATTCTCCACCTTCTTGATCTCCTGGATTCCTCGGTAGAAGACGCTGCGGGAGAGCAGAGGGCGGAGGGCGGCTCAGGGCTCCCCTCAACCCACCCGGACTCCCCCCTTCTCTAGGAGGGGCCGCCGTGTGTGTGTGTGTGTGTGTGTGTGTATGTGTGTGTGTGTGTGTGTGTATGTGTGTGTGTGGCGGGGCGGGGGGGGGGGGCGCCTCTTGTAAGTGTGGGTCCAGAAATGAGAGCCATCCCCGTGGTCTCAGTTCTCTGTGCTCCTCGGTGTGAGGCTCACCGCACGAGAGAGATGTCGCTTAGTCTTTGAGAAGAATCTTTCCTACGGCGCAGCCTCTAAATATAGCTGCCAGCGCGGGCGCCAGAGGGAAAGGGATCTTTCCCAATTAGGGAGGAAGCGCTGCTGCGCCAGCCGGTGTGTGGCTTCTGAAGGCGGCGGCGAAGGTCGTGCTGAGCAAACCTCCTGGTGGCCTTGGGAGCCGGCTGGATTTTTTATATATTTTTAAATTGATTTCAGAGAGGAAGGGAGAGAAATATCCATGATGAGAGAGAGTCATGGACCAGCTGCCCCCTGCACGCCCCACATGGGATGGAGCCCACAACCTGGGCCTGTGCCCTGACCGGGAATGGAACCGTGACCTCCTGGTTCATAGGTCGATGCTCAACCGCTGAGCTGCGCCAGCCGGGTAGGAGCCAACTTTAAAACTGAACCCTCCATGGGGCGCAACTGCCCTGGGTGTGGGCTCCAGGACACAGGACGCAGCAGTACCGCCCGCGACAGCTGGTCACTGTGTGGCAGGACCAGACCTGAGTGGTCGGCGTGCTCCTCCTCGTAACGCGGCACCTCCACCTACCATAGAAGCACCAGGAAGCCCACGGCGAGGCCGGCCAGCACCAGGAGGACGGCGGGGAACACGGCGGCCAGGACCACGAGGATGAAGGCCACGAGGGAGATCTGCTGCAGGAAGCTCTCCGTGTGGAAGGGCAGCCTCACGTCCAGCTCGTCCATGTCCTTGGAGAACTGGTTCATGAGCCGGCCGCTGGGCGTCATGTCGAAGAAGCTCATCGGGCTCTGCGAGATCTGCGGGCGCCGCCACCGTGGGAGAGTCCGGGGTTCAGGGGGCGTGTCTGTTACACCTCGCCCCCTGCCGGACTGGGGTGGTGAGCGCAGGGCCCCACCCTCCTTCCAGGGCCCACGTGAGGCGGAGGCGTGCTGGGCAGGGGAGGGTGCCCCCTTCTGTGGCCTCCGTGTGCACGCAGCTCCCCTCCAAACCCGGCACAGCCTGGGGCCCCTTTGGAGGAAGGGGGGATCTTGTGCTCGGGGGCACAGGAAGCTGTTCCCCTTAAACTTGCCCCGGCCAGGCCCTTCCTGGGGCCCTCGATGGACCGGGGCTCTTTGGAGCAGGAGGCGCCCTCTGGCCCGCTCGTGTCTGCTCGGTGCGGCCTCCTCGGGGATCCTCCCTGGGCACCCCCGGCCTGGCCGCGGGCCCATGACCCCCCACCCCGAGTTCCCTGGGGTTTGCTCCCATGTTGGTATGTAGGTCCTGGGAGGCGCTTCCCTGAGCCCAGCACAGCGCCCGGGCCTGCGGCGCTCAGTGACCCCGCAGTTACGTAGGCGCCCCGGGCGCACCTTGTCAAACATGCGGTCGTGTAGCGCGGAGGACGCCATCAGGGTGGTCTTGGTGAAGGTGAAACCTTTGGTGATGCCGAACGCCAGCACGGACGCCATGCTGCTTGCGTACACCCACTGGTACACGCCGTGCCCGGTGTCGGCCAGCACCGTGCCGATCTCACACGGGCCCTGGCTGGTCTGCGGCCCACAGGTCATCTTTGGAGAAAAGCAAGAAAAAAATCACTGAGCATCAGTGAACGGCCAGGGGAGTGGGCGTCTCCCAGAAAGAGGGGATGAAAGAGAGGCTGTTACTGTGGAGAGTGAGTCGGGGTGCCTGTGCTTTGCAGGGGTCACCAGGACCCCAAGGGGCACCTGACTCAGGAGGCTGGGCACGGTCCGGGGGAAGGCAGAGGAGACCAGCCAGGCAGGCTCAGGGCAGCTGTCCCAGAAGCCAGCTGAGCCTCAGGACGCCGGAGGTGACGCCAGGCCAGGAGGGGGACAGGAGCAAGGACATGTGTCCCGCCTCGCAGCTGCCCAGCAGGAGCCAGCAGGCCCTGGGGAGGCCCAGGCCCTGGGGAGGCGGGTCTCGGGTCCCCGTGTGGTAGGCCAGCGCCAGACCCCTCCCCTTCCGGTGCTCAGGCCTCTGTCCGTCCTGAAGTCCCCGGTGCGTGGCCAGGGAGCCCGCGTGGCTCCATCCGCCAGGGAGAGCCCCACGTTTGCAACAGTTCTGGGGAGAGGCCGTCCGTCTCTTCCTTTAAAGATGGACGGTGGGCCCTGGCCTGTTTAGCTCAGTGGATAGAGCGTTGGCCTGCGGAGCATAGAACCTCCCGGGTTCTATTCCGCTCAAGGGCACAGGCCCGGGTTATGGGCTCGATCCCCAGTGGGGGGCATGCAGGAAGCAGCCCATCCATGATTCTCTCTCATCATTGATGTTTCTCTCTCTCCCTTCCTCTCTGAAACCAATAAAAATAGATTTAAAAAAGAAGATGGAAGGTGGCACACAGAACCCCGATGCCGTTTGTCTTAAAAAGTGGAAGGGGTTTCGGGTTCTGAACCGAGCCGGTGAGCAGGGGCCTCCGCTTCGTGAGCAGGAGCCACAAGGGGAGGAGGAGCTGCGTGGCGTCGGGTGGGGTCCGGCTCCCGGGAGCCACCTCCTCAGCGTCCGCCAGCCCGAGGGCCTCTCACCTCCGAGGCCTTGTCCAGCCAGAAGCCCAGCCACCAGTTGCTGAAGGCGGTGCTGCCGATCATGAGGAGGAAGAGCGTCACGGTGAAGAGGGAGAGGAGGTAGCCTGCAGGGAGGAGAGGCCGCGGTGCCGGGCGCAGCCGGCTCCCTGGGCCCCGCCTGATGGAGATGAACCTGCCGGGAAAGGCCCTGCCCTGGGAACCACCCTCCAGGCTGGCGGACGGGTCTGGGGGTTGCGCCCCTGAACCCACGTGGGGGCACCTGGCCGCCTGGTTGGAAAGTAGGTCCAAGTTGTCAACTTTTGGAAAAGCCACCAATATGCACTGAGATAGAAGTGACTCCGAATTCTTTAGGGACAAACAGGGAACGCCCCGTCTTGCTGGGAGCGAAGGGAGGTGACTAAGTCAGCCGTGGGCAAACTACGGCCCGCGGGCCGGACCCGGCCCGTTTGAAATGAATAAAACTAAAAAAAAAAAGACCGTACCCTTTTATGTAATGATGTTTACTTTGAATTTGTATTAGTTCACACAAACACTCCATCCATGCTTTTGTTCCGGCCTCCGGTCCAGTTTAAGAACCCATTGTGGCCCTCGAGTCAAAAAGTTTGCCCACCCCTGGTCTAAGTGCTTTGCGCCCGAGCTGATGGGGGGCGTGCTCAGTGACGGAGAGGAGGCCACGGAGGCGCACCGCTGGGTTACACCGCCGCCCCCCATTTCCTTCCCACAGACAGAGCCCAGCAGCCTGAATGGCCATAAAGGGCGATGCCGTGGGAAAGGCCGTATTGTCCGACTTGATATTCTTGGGGGGCGGGGGGGAGTGGTGTGGGGGGAGCATTGATAAACAGCCTTCGCCTAATGAGACGAATCATTAAAGAAATCGTAAACACATGAACCCAGGCGTCTAAGAAGGAGTGCTTTTAAAGGCAAAGTACTTCAGGAAACCCGTTGGATGCCAAACCTCCAGCCGCCTTAATGTACGTGTGATACGTCCTCCAGGTCACGGCTCCTTCCCGGGGGGGCTGGGTCTGGACGAGCTGGTTCAGAGGGGCTGTGGGGACAAACACCAGTCCTGGGCTCCCCTGGGGGAGTGGGGGCCGTGGGCCAGGGGACCCTCCCGATTCCCCAGGGCAGGCACCGCCCCTCCTGCCCTTTCCCTGCGCCTTCACGTTCCCAAAAACACTTCCGCTCCTTTGATTTTGTTTGGTCGCGCAGCCAACGTGGAGGCGCGCAGAGCTGAGGGAGTGGGTGGCACGCACCTTTGACGTCTATGAATTCTGAGTACGTGTCGGATTCTTTTTCTTCCTCTTTTTCATTGGGAGCCAGAACTAGGGTGAGAAAGGGAGGGGTCTGTGTCCACTGAGCCCCAGGTAACACAAGAGGCAGTGATTCCAGCTCGGCTCGGACCCGCACCTTCGTCTCTGTCCGAGGGGCCCTCCTGCAGGGCCTCCACCATCGCCGCATTGTAGATGTGCTCAGGGTCCTGGGGGCAGAACCAGTGCCTTCTGCAGGCGCAGCGAGAGACCGCCCCAGCCGGACACCGAGGGGAGGCCCGATCCGGGCGCCCAGGCCCCGGGCCCCCGCACGCCGCTACCTTGAACTGCAGCCCCCGGAGGTTGTGCACCAGCTTTGCATAGCGCCCTCTCTCCTCCATTAGCTCCTGGTGGGTTCCCTTCTCACAGATCTCTCCATCTTCCAACAAAATGACCTCGTCACAGGACTCCAGGAACTGTGGGGGGTAAAGCCACTGCAGTGAGTGCCGGCTGCCTGAGGGGGGCCACATATCCCCGGCCCTGCTGCCTCCCTGACTGTCCGGCTGAGGACAGCCCAGGGCTGGAGAGGAGACCGCGGCGCCGGTGCCACACCCATGCCATGGGCGTCCGGTCACCTGCAGCTGGTGCGTCACCAGGACGACCGTCTTGCCGCGGAGCGTCTTCCGGATGCACTCCTCGAACACGTGCTTCCCCACGCGGGCGTCCACGGCCGACAGCGGGTCGTCCAGCAGGTAGACTTCGCGGTCCGAGTAGACGGCGCGGGCCAGGTTGATCCTCTGTCTCTGCCCCCCCGAGAGGTTGAGGCCCCGCTCCCCGATCTGCGGACGGGGCAGTGCTCCTGCTCGTCACCACGCCCCAGCTCCCCCCTTCCCCGCAGGGACCCCGACAGCACCCAGGCCCCGGGGGTGCTGGGAGCCTGTGGGCAGAGGTGACTGGGGCGCAGCTCTTCCCAGCACCGAGTGAGGGGCGCCTGGCTCATCGTCCCAGGTGCAGGCCCATTGGGAAGGGCTGCGTCTGGATCGCTCACCCCAAGAGAGTGGAGGGCAGGAAGCTCAGGGAGGGGGACAGGCTCCCCGCAGGGAGGCGTGGCTGGGAGCAGAGGGACCAGCATCCGGGCAGTGTCTGGAGGGGACCTGGTCCTCCTGGGCCCACAGAGGCAGTGAGGCAGAAAGGGGCCCTCGAGACCAGCCACAGACCAGCACCTGGCCCCCCATCCTCCGAGGATGGGGCCACCTCGGGGAAGCGGGCAGCGTGAGGTTGACCTGCTTGGCTGCCAGCAGCAGGACCCTTGGCTGCCTCTCCAGAGGCAGATGGGAAGTGGTCCCAGGGGCGGCCACGCTGGACCCAACACAGGTGGGGTTGGTGCCACCTCCGCTGTGACATCCCCCAAGCACAGGCCCAGATGAGAGTCCGAGACGGGGGACCTGACTTTCCCGCATGTCCTGGCACCGTTCTGGTCGTGGGGCATCGGGTGTGGACGGAGCTGGGCTGCCCTTTGGCCCTGGGCAGTCGGGCTGCCCGATGCCACCGTGGGGCCGAGCCCGCCCCGCTCACCTCAGTCAGGTCCCCGTAAGGCAGGCTGCTCAGGTCCTCCTGGAGGGCGCAGACTCGCACCGTGTGCTGGTACCTGTGGGCGCGAGGGTCAGAGGTCAGCGCAGTGAGGAAGACCCGCCGCCCGGGCTGCACCGGAGACACTGCTGTGGTCCCTGGGCAAGGGAGGGCGTGGCCAGTGCTTTGTCCTGAATGTCCAAGGGCAGCTGCCCCCGGACCCTGTGCCCTCCAGCTGATAGAGGGGACCAGACGGCCCTTTCCTCAGGGTTCCCACCACGAGGGGGCGCCAGTGGCTGGCACTGCTCCTGGGAGTCAGAGGAGGGGCCTCAGGCCTCCGCTCTGCCCTTCGATAGCTTTGACCTTGGGCAGGTCAACGTTCCTCTCTGGGCCTCAGCCTCTTCCTGGGTGAGAGACGGGGATTCGCTGCCAGGATCCCCCTAAATGGGTGGTTCTGGAACTCATGAGAGACTGGACCGGGCAGCCTCCCTGACTCGGTGAAGAACCCGGAGAGAGCAGAGCTGGGAGGCGGGGGCCCCAGTGCCTGCAGAGTCAGGACTCGAAGGTTGCGCTCATTCCCTTCGGCCACTGTGGGACGTCAGCAGCAGCAGGTCCCGTGGCCCGCGGCCAGGCCCGGCTCAGCGCTGCTCGACTTCAAGCCACGGCCAGATGGACCTTCCTGCGGCCGGACAGCACGTGCGGAGACGGAGACCGGGAGCCCGGCGCCCATTCCACGTGTCCTGGAGCGCGACCCAGGCCTGCAGGGGGCGCCTCCTGGACTTGGGTCAGGAAGGGGACCACCGGCGCCCGTGCATCCGGGTCCGATCGGCTCCTGCAGCAAAGGGTCCCGAACACGGCAGCTCCTGCCCCGAGTGAGCGTTACCTCTGGTGGTCGTACTTGGCTCCGAACAGGATGTTCTCCCTCACGCTCCCGTGGAAGATCCACGCCTGCTGGGACACGTAGGCCAGGGTCCCGCTGACCGCCACCACCCCCTGCTGCAGCTGCATCTGCAGGCACAGAACCAGGGCCCTCAGAGCTGACCCGCCGACGGCTCCCGGGCCCATTGGACGCCTGCGCCCCTTCTCCCGTGAGCTTTAATCCTGAGGGTGCGAGAGGGAGACACTATCTCATCCACGGGCTGCAGAGCCCGACCGTGCAGGCCGAGGGCTTCGACGTCAAACACCTGCAGGGGGCCAGGCAGGAACGTTCTGGAAGAGGCAGCCGAGGGGCCTGCTGCTGGCTGCCAAGCACGTCAACCTCACGAACATGACCTTTCACTCTGCCCAGCTGCAGGGGCCACTGTTCTCACGGACCCAGCACACAGCAGCAGGGACCCTGACATCGCGGCGAGTCCACCCGCACAACTCACCTGGCCCAGCAGAGCTGCGATGAGGGAGCTCTTCCCGCTCCCAATGTTCCCGCAAATCCCCAGGACCTTCCCCTGCAGAGAAACAGGAAAGAGACTCTGTTGCTCCCCTGTTCTTACCGGGTCTGGGGACAAAGGTGTCGCCTCCACACTGTGCAGGTGGGGACCACGGTGGCTCCAGGTGGTGGCGGTGCAACCTCGGACCCGGCCAGACTCAGCCAGGGAGGATGCAGGGACCCGAGTGTTAGTGAAGCGCCCCCCGCCTCGGGACACACACCCTGGATGCGAGGCTTGTCCTGCACCCAGGCTCCAGGGGAGGAAATCTAACCGAGGTGATGCTCGTTGGGGGCGGACAGTGAACAGCAGAGTAGGAAAGGTTCGCAGTGTGCGGGGTGCACACCACGGGAACGCGGGACGGGGAGCTGGGGAAGCCTTCCTGGAAAGACACCCGTCTCGGTTGGTCCTCCCCGACACGGCCCCAGCCAGAGACC